ATATATATATATATACCTCAAAACGAACGAAATATTATTATTTTTATTATTATTTTGTTTTGTTAAATAGTTTAGTATTTTTTCTAACGATACCTCTTTAGTACTAATAGGCTGGAGCTTATCCAAGTTTCAAGTAGCGTGAAGAGAATGAGTGTGATGCTGGTACATCGCATGTCACTCACAGTAATTATGCTGGTACCCGTTGATACTGGACTGAAGCAATGTATATAAAGTGTCTCAAGGATTGAAAACCAAAACCTTAAGTTTTGGAAACTAAACCATTCCCACTGCGCCAACCACCTCCTTATTGTCACTGTCGTATAACTCAGCTATTCAAATATTGGTATATATGATTACATATTTGTGTTCTAAAATTGAACATTCAATGTTTAGATGAAATTGAGTATTAGTATTAATTTAATGTTTCTCATTCGATTTAGTTTTCCAGATTTCTCCAATTCCTAACAATGGTTTTAATACTGAAACTTAATTTGCTGTGGGCGGCAATTGTTACTTTGTCAATATCATCACCGTTATTACAGAACACAGCATCCGTTGAAACCCGGAGTGTCAATAGTCATGATTATATGAATGATGAGGGGTGGGACAACTCAGAAAGATATAATAGTACGACAAATCCACCCAATGCTGTTACACAAATGATAGTATCAAGAACGGGGTACTTCCTTCGAATTGGTCCCGATGGACTGGTTAGCGGTACAAGTAACTGTAGAGACGAATATGGTAAGTAGGCCTTTTTGTTTCCATATCGCAACGACAAGTATTGGACTTACAACCGAATGATGCGAGTTCAGGCCAATGCTGGTTTCGTTGGTTTTGTTTCGTCGATAAGATTTCCTCTGTCTTTCTTAACACCCTCCGTACAATCTTGTGCCAAGTCCTGTGCTGCTAAAAGCTGCATGGTAGAAATGGACCTTGGGGACAACACGCGTGTTTGTAGGACACGCCCATATCCTGGCCCTGTTCTGATTGGCCAGTTGTTGGGTTTGATCGACACCGTCCGCAAAGGTCCATTCTCCATAGGGAATGAAACGCAGGAAGTTGCACACAATCCATTATACATGATACTTTTTAATTTCTGGTAATTATTAGGCCTAATATAATAATAATTTTATTATTGGTTTTTCCAGCAGTACTGGGAAAAGGCATTGTTTTTGTTCTCATTTTTTTTCTTTTTTCTTGCATATATTTTTCCTATCTTTTTGCACTGTTTTTTTTTTCTGGCCGTCACTCTGGTCACCATGCTTAGAATTTTTCCGTGCTTTGCTGAAGCATAGGCCATATATCAAGGATGTGCCTCCTAATATTTAGTGTCAATCTATGGTGGGGTGTGCGTGTGAGGACCAACTAAAGTGATTTAAGGTCAAACAGTCTACACCGGATTTCAAAAACCGGTCGGTTGATGTGAATGAAAGTTAAACTTACGGGAAAATTTAATCAAGTTACAAGGAAGAAATTTTTATGTGTTAGTGACGATCCAGTGAAGGGTGTAAATTTGAGGGTCTTTTCAATTTTTTAGGTCCCAGACCTAAATTTCTCTTTCAAAAAAACAATGGGTCTAAATGAAACATTCTATTTTGTAAAGGTTTTGTAAAAAAATGATTAAATTTTTGTGACGATCCGCAGTATGATGTGGATCTGAGGAGACCATTCAAAGGAAAACGTCCCAGACCAGATATTTCGAAAACGGATCAACTGATCTGAATGAAACATTCGGAAAAAGTTTAACCAATTAATAAGAAAGATAGTATTATGTGTTGGCGAAGAATCAGTCAAGGGTGTAAACTGGAGGGTCATTTAAATTTTTGAGATCCCAGACGTAAATATCTATAAAAAGAGTTTTGTAAAGATCAAAGGCCTTACACGCTGCACCACACGCTTCTACTAGTCCAGAGTCCACACTCACCTCAGCCCACTGAAGGCTGATGTGCGACATTTATATTTTTAGCGCCTCAGCTCTAGACATCTGGAAATAGCATATCTGACTTGAAAAATGTGCCTAATTTTGGAAATTCAATGTTCAATTTTGAATAGACTGACCATGAGACTATATCGTTTATAATAGGATGCCGTCATCAAGTGAGTAGGGGTGGCGTCGTCGAAGAAAAAGAAAATGTATATGTATTTTCTACATATTAGTAGATTCTAAGATCGATTAAATAGGCCTAAGCCTTTGAAACCCCCAGATCACTTTTGGAATATTTTGAGCGACGCCTGACCACACCCAGTTTTCTCTCGTCGGAGACATCATCGTCCCTTATAAAAGGATGAGATTTCACAAAAAAAATATCAACTAATTTAATTATCGCTTAATTATAAATGTAACTTTTTTATACCTTTTAAAATTTTTTACTAAGAATCGCTGATATGTACATATTTTGCTTCAATGTTTCTAAATTGTTTATAAATTGTAAATGTATCCAATTCTATTCTCTCTTAGGCCTAATCCCTTTTTTGCTTTATTTTTTAGCTTTCGTAATTTTTTTACTTTGTTTTATTTCATGATTTTTTTTTTTATTTATTTAGCGTTTCGTGTCCTTTTTGTGATGTTATTGTACTGTTTTTTCTTGGTCTATTGTTCAACTTCAGTTTTATATGATAAATAATTGCAATAAGGTATCTCGTATCTCATCGACCATAAAATTGTAAATATATCCAATTCTATTCTCTCTTAGGCCTAATCCCTTTTTTGCTTTATTTTTTAGCTTTTCGTAATTTTTTTACTTTGTTTTATTTCATGAATTTTTTTTATTTATTTAGCGTTTCGTGTCCTTTTTGTGGTTTCATTGTACTGTTTTTTCTTGGTCTATTGTTCAACTTCAGTTTTATATGATAATTAATTGCAATAAAGTATCTCGTATCTCATCGACGTAAACGGCAAAGCACTCAAAAATAATAAACATACACGTCACGGTACATTGGTGTTGAAATTGACGAAGTAATATGACTTCCACGTTCAAAACCTATCTAAATCACTTGGGATGTCAATATTAAGTAAGTTTATTCGGGTACGCAAGTCTCCTAGAAAAAGTGCAGGCCTACTAAACAGTAATTCATAGTACGGTACATGTACATAGTACATAGAACATAGTACGAGGACCTCTGAGACGTTAAGACTGCCCCCCACCCCCTCCAAAAAAAAACAAACAAAAAAAACCTTGAAGTGAAGCCCTAGCCTTTTTTTATTTTTTTATTTATTTATTTATTTTTTTTTTTGCAACTCTGGTTGGGATTCTTTTCGAGATGGGCTTCTTTTCGAGTATCTTCAGACACATTGCCGGCCAGTAGGCACATTGCTGGAAAAAGTAGCCTCGAAAAGAGGCTATTTCTTTCCAGCAATGTGCAAAGTAAAGAGGGGGCTTCTTTTCAAAATGAATGCTGTAAATTTTGGGAATTACTACTATAAAACAATAAATAAGGCCACTGTAACTTCAATCTGTACCATGGAGTGTATTAACTGGCATTAAGTCACCTAAACTACTGTACAAACCAAACTTCCCCCTCTTTAGTGTTGCAAACTTTTCGAGATGGACTTCCCCACGAGATTAAGCACACTGGGCTTCTATTCAAGGTTTTATGGTATATCCATGTATTTTACAATTTCTTATTTTTGGTTAATCTTTCTGTTAGTATCAAAATATGTAACTAAGAGTGACTCAACCTATTCCATGCAGTGATAAAGTTTACAAGCTTCATCACACGTGTATGATGAAATTTGGAAAAATACTCCTCCCATTCTCCTCTTCCCGTATTATCCTCCCTTGGGTCAACCGAAGCGGAAAATAGATGGTGCTGTTAACTGAACTGTCATAGAAGGTATACTAGGTCCAAGCTGTTATTGCCACTATTTTGTTATCAAATTCTATGCCTACTGAAATGTACTACTGCACCAAAATTGCTTTTAAAATATTTGGGAAAGCCGATTTGAGCGAAGAGATAAAGGTGTAGATCGTTGCAGGCAAAATGGCGTTTTATTTAATAGCCCGAAAGACCAGAATTCTTTTTATTTTTTTTTATTTTTTAGTGCAAATGACAACATTTGGTGTTGGCCCTAGTTTGTTCGTCATCCGGGGTTCTGAATCTGGACTTTATTTATCGATGGATGGAAATGGCAGGATATCAGCAAGAAAAGTGAGTCGTAAACACATCTATGTAGCCTACTTTAACATTGTTTATGTTCATATTTCAAATATGTATATAAGGCCTATATATATATACATATTATATAAATGTAT